TCATATTTTGCGGATGTCTACTCTCGCCCTTAGATCAGATGATGGTAAGCAGAGGAGGAGACACCCTCTAACAAGATAGTTGGCTTTTGTTTAAGTAAATGGTGTGGGTTTTTTTACCAGTCATCAAGTAAGTAAGGTTTTATATTGCTAATGCACGAGCATGCCCCCTTTTACCTAAGTAATCAGCATTCAGTTATCGTAAATTAAATCAGTTTTGAATGTTCAGATAACGAGGTACTCCATTCCCGAAACTCACCTCACTTACTGGTGGAGAGGAAACATTAAGTATGCTTTAAAACGATCAACTATAGCTGATTACCTACTTTTACATACAACTTGTTCTCTCTACCATCCAACCGTTTCCAAGCTGACTGATTTTGCGCTCACAGCATGCCACATCACGGTGCCTTGCAAATGCATGCATTTCTATTACAACTTCAGACAGAACGAAACAACTGATTCTGTTTAACGCAGGTTTCCTACCAACTTTTGGCCCATCCTTCATCAATCTTTACGGATCGCCGCGCGAATTCAGCGATGGACCTGACAAATTTGAAGCCTTGAATTTGGCCAAAGGAGAGGGTTGCGCTTACAGAGGCCGCGTGCTTTGTGAGGTTCAAACAGAACTTCTGGACGAAATGCAACAATCTGGAGTCACTCCAATGTCTGAGGACATGAAAGTTCATGTTAATGTAGGTGACTTTACAATATCTTGTTGAATGATGTAATAGTAGGAAGCCGAAAATGTGTGGAGAGATCACAATCTCATAGTACAATGCCAATACGTCTTTACAAAACTGTCCCTTCTAGTGCAAATGAATTTTTTGATTTTGCTGTTTTCATTCTGGTCGTGCAGACCAATTGCTGCCAACTGCAATATAAGTGAGTATGCCATATTACTGTATTTAGAAATACATGCGGCGACGGAAATACGTACTTCACGCCGCCTTCTTTCATGCCAACATGATTAGCATTGATGACGCCCCAATTGAATTTGAAGTCAGCATTGGGAACTACGGCAACAACCTTGATGAGACTGTACCACCCTGTGCATCGACCACTCCACCGACCAACGCTGTGTTCGACGGTTGCTATTACAACTTCTTGCCCTGGGGCGACACCAAACCGTGCACCGTTGTTGAGTGCCAATGGGAGGACATCTCCTTCCGTCTTTATGCTGTCAACATGATAACGCGGATTGCTGATAACTTGGTAAACTAATTGATACATTTGATCTAAAATTTAATCTACGATCGCACAACAAACTTTAAACAAGCATCAATGATTCTTCTACATTTTGTTCAGCTATGCGTCCAATCTTTTGCTTCTTCGTTACTGAAGATTGTCTTGAACATCAGATCAATTCATCATTGAATTACAAAGATAAATCGCAAAATTGTGCCTATTTTTAAGGTTGAGTATTTACTTGTAGGAGTATGGTCTTGAAAACATCGAAGTGAGCATGAAAGTGGATCTGGCAGAAGAGGACTTGGCAAGCACGGTGATTGCAACCCTTGACCAATTCATAATGGACTGTCAGTACGTCAGGAACTCCTCATGAGCTTTGTAACTTAACGTCTCATTGCGCGAGCAAAACAGTTTTTCTTCCTACCGAAAAATTGGTGCTAGAGGATGAAGTCATTTTCACTTTTACTCATAAAAGCAGGTCCTACAAAGTAGGATTTATGCTTTGATACATATTAGTTAATTGCATACTGTGTGGTACAATTGAAATCTACGTCATTTGACTGAATTACCTTAGAACTCCATTGCCCGAGTGGACGGAGGGATGCACTCCTGTAAACAACTTGGATCAGAAGTTAATGAAACTACGCCACGACGACCTGGAGCAACTCAAGGCCCAGGCTGTCAAGCTTCGTGAAGAGGCCACGAGTGCTGAAGATGTTGTCAAAGAGCTAAAGGTCTACCTTGAAACTTTGCGCAAAATTTTTGTCGAGGTAAGAATCAGTGTTTTCATCTTTTGATTCCCTCCTTCCCCTTCGCCCCTCCTACTCCAATTATTAACTGAATTCTCAAAGGGATGTTTTGCGTATTATTTAGCCACAAAACAGCATGCCAGACGTTGTTATATGGATGATTGCCTCTGAGAAAAGAATTGCCTACTTCCGTATACCGGCATATGATTTACTCTTCTCAGAAAATCAGATGTATCGTGGTCGTTATTGTGGTGAGGTTCGGACTATAATGCTCAAAGTAAGGAAAGATCTCACTAGCTTACTTCATACTTTGCAGTGATTTTGCGCTTACATCTGTGTTGTCTTAATAGCCCCCATCATTGGACAAGGATAGTGTGTCTGATAAGTGGAAGGTGCCTGCCCAAGTACGCTTGAGTTTGTGGATCGGACTGGAAAAAGAACAGAGTGATTGGGCCGGACGAGAAGACGATGGATTGCTAACGGTTGTAGCAGAAACGGTGCGTTGCCATACCTCATCCACGTACCTTGACCGTCAGCATGAAGAACCGCATTACTTTTGACAGTACAGGTGTTTATGGGTTCGTTGCATGGCCAAAAACACACATGTGGATGACTTGCACACGAGATTGTCAAATTACAGTTTTGGCATTAAGGATGCGTGCTAGCAACCATCCGATATCAGTGGTTGCACATGTTGCGCCACTTTCATAGGAAATTCGAATGTCGAACATTCATCATTCACCCTACCACCTCTTATAAAAGGCTTAAAAACACTGCAAATAAGATTACTCCAGCATTTAAATTCTATTCTCATCTAGCATTCAATTCTTCTGTTTTCAGATGCACGCTTTACTGGCGCACTTTACCTACATTTTAATAATTTCAGGAGGAATTTGATTAACTTAAATAATTTTAAATAATTACTACTGCGTTAAAATAGTAGCGAGGTATTTTCCCAATTACAAAGTTGTTCTCTTGCCACTTCTCTGACGCTTATGTGTACCTCCATCCAGTACGAGAACGAGGCCCAAATAGTGGGTAAGTGGTCCTCGCGTCGACCACCACTAACCCGCCCCAACTACACCGACTGTACTGGACACCTCGAAACGCCGAAAGAGAACTTCATTCCGCCCCTTGGCTGGAAGTGGGAAGGTGACTGGTATATTAGCCCAGAATTCTCACTCATGTTTAAGAAGGTGTGCACTTCTCTATTATGCTTATTCTTTTTCATGCTATCTCGCGGTTAAACTTTTGTTGTACAGGTCTTCAAACTGACAACGCTGCATATCCATTTTGAGTCTTTGAGGTGTAATTCCTGTCAAGACAATGATTTTATGACAGCGTTGATTTTTTAGATAACTTTTTCATTACCTCACCTATTTGCTTATTTTGCATTTTTCAATGCTGTACAGCAAACGTTGAGTCCGCTATTGGAGATATTTTATGATAATAGGATACCGGGGCAACAAGCTTCATGGAGGATGTGTTCTATAACGAAAAACGCACCCCAATCTCTGGTTGGGAGAAAGCATCACTAGCGTACACAGACGCTCAGGGCTACGAAAAGCCAAGTCCAGATGAGACTGAACTTCCTAGTGGATGGGTTTGGGAGGACGATGCCTGGAAGGTTGACTTCAACAGGCCCTGTGACGAGGAAGGTAATTATACGTAAATTACTCAGTGCTTTGTTGATAAATGTGTGGAATCAATGATCGTTTATGGGGAGAAAAAACCATTTTGCGCACTTGATTCTTTTATCCTACGGTGTGACAATAATATCCACCATGCTAATGGACATCACTTATTCACATCCAAGCCCTAACCTTTACCCGTTTTCCAAGCCCTACCTCTCTGATGTCTTATAAATGCATCTGATGTCCTGGTTTCAAACCTCAGGTTGGGAGTATTCTGTGGATCACTCCATCGGCAACTATGTGGCCGTGGAAAAGGTCTTTCACATGAGTCGAAGGCGCCGCCTGATTCGTCGGCGAAAGGTTCAGGATATCACTAAGAACGTTAAAGAAGATGTGAGTTGGGTATTTACCTTCATCCACTGCCTCTGGAACCCTTATTAGTCAAAACCCTTTTTAGACATTTTCGTTTCCAAATGAAATATAAATAATATCAGAGTGAACATTATTTAGATATCATATAAGTTTCACCTTGTGTAGAATCAATTTATCAAGTTTTCTAAGCTATCAGATTCCTCTCCTCTCACACGTTCAATTTTCGCATCTGTTTTATTAATGAACTCTTCTTTTTGCAGATTGTAGCCAAAATGATGGAAAAGAAAATGGTTTGTCTTAGCGCTGCTTCTGCGCCTAAAGCTTTGTTTCTTTCCTCATCTAACATTGAGTGTGTGCTTGGGAATTTGCGTTTTTAGTTTCAACAGTTTTTTGTTGACGAAACCTAGTCTGGCATATATGTCATTTTCGGAACCGACTAGTCATAGCATGCCAATAAACTGCTGTGTGCAATGTATCTTGGATTGGTTGTGAAGCGATGCACTTTCGAAATTATTATCTTTAATGCATAGCCCAATTAAGACTTCATTGAGTTTTCAAAGCCGTTACTGTTGAACGTTAACATGAAACCATTGAATTAACAGCGACCGCGACTGCATACTCACTTTCTCTTTGTTTTTAACAGTTGCATTTGCATATTTTAAGAAAATCTTTTGTTTTTCTACTTCTACCAACTGTCTTCCATCGGAACAGGACGCACGCTTGTCTTTACTCGTAAGTCTCCCTCAAAAGTGGTTCATTCAATTTTAATAAGTTCTCACAGCTTAAATAGCTCTACAAATTCTTATCATTCATTCTGGATATGATTCCACATTCTTGAACCATAGTATCTCAAGTTCCTTTAGTTGACGATGGTTTAAAATGATTTGCCTTTTTGAGCTTTGGTCGGGACGCCGATCGTTTCAAAAAAAGGGATTTCGACATCAGTCATTGTAAATTTGCTAAG